GTAGTCATATGGCTCGGTCCAGAAGAGCATGATAGCTCACTGGCTATATCTGGGCTGTACTGGTTAGCACGTGAGTCAGAGCAATCGACGCGGATGGAGAGTTTTTACTCCGAAGAATTCTCGGTTGACTTGCGCCCTCTCGTTATCATATGGCCCCGATACAAAAGTTCAATGAAGAAGGATGTTTACAGAGCCCTGTTTCACTTCTTTACAAGGCCATACTGGCGTCGAATGTGGATTGTCCAAGAAGTTGCAATGGGCAACTTGAATAGTCCTGTGCTTTGCGGCAATGCATGTATCTCGTGGAATGATCTCTACAAAGCCGTCGGTATAATAGCCGACGACGAGTCAAGATTCGGGCGTGAGATTCTCGAAACTGTGCAACCACGGATTTTGCCAGCATGGTCGTTTGAGTTTGCACGAGACAGACTTCTCCATGAAAGAACTTGTGCGCCAGAACGAATGTGGAAGATTCACCAGACCATGACGAAGATCCAAAACAACCAAAGACTTGTGCCTCTATCAACTGAATGGGAAGAGCTTATGCGAGCACTGAATATTGCACGTGATTGTCTTGTTACGGAAGAGAAGGACAGGGTTTATGGTATTCTTGGTATCAAAGCCATCGCCGATAGGGTTCACATCGAGCCTGACTACAAACTCTCACTATCAGCCATTTATACCAATTTCACGGGGGAGCTCTTGTCGAAAGGTGACTTGAACATTCTACGCCTAGCTTCTGGTCATGGCGGGTATGTTCCGTTCAAGAGAACCTCAGACAGTCTGCCTCCATCTGTACGAAATCGCTCCCTCGCACCGGTTTTACTATCCATGCTTGATACTGCTACGAGACTACAGGGCAAGACTCCTGTCGGGACGCCTTGCGAGCATAGTCTTCCCTCTTGGGCAATATGCTGGTCCTGTTCAACGGCGCCAACCGCACAGCTTCGAGGAATCTACCATGCGGACGGAAACCTTGGTTTGACGATTTCAAGGCCCGCTATTTCAAATATGGCTCTCATTTTGAAAGGCATCGTTATAGATACCATCACTTCACTGAGCGCATTTCACGTGGATGAATGTGATGGGCGCTATCCCGACAACACTTTTGCCTCGAACTGCAGCATCTACGGAGATATAGAAGCTACACGGGAGGCACTCTGGCGAACCATAGTGGCTGATACAATTGCAGAAGAGACAGCTCGTGCACCAGAGACCTACTCTTGGCTTCTTGATCACAAACTATGGCAGAGAGGCGTTGCTGGCGTGTACACATACGGGTTCGGATTGCATGACTTTATGGCACGAAATCAGCATCTCCGTCTATGCGGCTACACATTGGAGCAGTTGATATTTGGGCACAACAAATGGCTTACCAGATTGAGGATGACTATTGGTGATAATTACTATAATTCGACTGAGTCGCAGCGGGAGGCTTTGTCGTGGGCGATTAATGCGATGGCATGGAGGAGACTGTTTGGGACAAAGGATGGCAGGGTGGGATTGGGGACATGTGCAGCTGAAGTTAAAGATAGAGTTGTCCTCTTGAGGGGCTGTGACACGCCACTTATCATCAGAGAGTACAACAGCGGTTGGAAGCTTATAGGGGAGTGTTATACTCATGGTATTATGTACGGCGAGGTAGCCGCCAACGAGTATGAACTTGTAGATATCACGATTTACTGACGGCCATAATGAGTATCATGAACATATCTATATAAAGTCTAACGCTCGAGTGTATTCTATCACCACTGAAAGCTCTCCTCAAAGTACTCTACCCTCATAACTCCATTTCGTAACAAATCGGCAACTGTCTTTCTCGCATCATCCGCCATCTGCGCCGGTCCACAAGCAATAATCGCGAGACTCTCTCCCATCGCCTCTTCACTCCTCCTCCTCACCACATCCGAAGCATCTATCCTTCCTCTTCGCAAGGTAACCTGTGACGGCCACTCACTCAGTTCATCTTGGGGCGTATGTGTCGTAAGATGTATCTCAAAACTGAGGTTCGTGCTCCCCAAAGCGTCAGCGATGTCGGTTTGTAGAACTTCGAGCGCGAAGGCGGGTTCGCGAACGGCCCAGTGGATTTTCACGGACCGAGGGGCCGTTGGGCCGGTGAGGCGTTGGAGATATGATAGGGGAACGACGATGCCGCTGCCTCCGACGATGAAAGTTACGTTGTCGAAGAGATGGAGGGGACGAGTGTGTCCGTACGGACCGTCGACAAGGACGCGCTGAGGGACGTTTTTAGGCCAGACTGCTGATGCTGCGTCGCGGAGTCTGGAGGTGAAGCCGTCGTAGGGACGGATTAGGAATGTCATTGTGCGAGAGTCGCTGAGTATATCTTGTGAGTCAACGGGATCCGAGCTTTGCTCAGCAACAGTGCCATCGAGCAGGGGAACTTGTTCGCCAAGTAGCTTTGAACCACGCTGCCCTTCATCTGTGACCATTGCCACGGTAAAGGGGTGACTTTCCCAGCAACGAGGTCCGTTGAGAACATGGATGTAGTAGAATGTTCCCGGTGCTGGCTTGTACAAGCTGCTTGACCACGGAACGACAAGTCTAACAATGTTGGAGGATGGATGGTAAATGGATGTAGCCCAGGTGTCCCAGAGCTTTGGGTTGAAGGACGCGATGCGTAGAGCACGGATGACGCGGTCGCCTACCCAGATGAAGCAGGGGACCCAGAAGAATACGTCGTATTCACCTTGGAAGATGGAGACGTGGCTGGCTTGTTAGACAAGACTGGTAGAGATAGGAAGGGCTAGACTTACGCAAGCATTGTGATGAGAAGGATGATTGACATGATGATGTGCACGACCAAGAATAGTTCGTACTGCTGACGCCGGATCCAGTAGAATGATGCTCCAACGAGAAGAGACATGACGATAGTTGCCTGCGCATGTCAGATAAGATTGCTGTGAGGACATGGGAGATAACATACCACTTCGCCAACCCACCAGAACATGTAGTTCCACCAGAATAGATAATACTCCCAGCCGCCCTCTGGTAGATAGTCAGCATGCCAGTAGTCCAAGTCACGGTATTGACGAACCTAAGACGATCAACCAAGTATACCCAATAGAGTGGACGACGGCTTGGAGGGTTGCAATTCGCGCAACCCAGCGGTGAAAGTTGTTATATGTTCCAAAATCCCAACCAGTTAGCCACATAAGGAGATTATTTCTCATGCCAAATAACCAGATAACTGGAAAGTTGGCCCATGAGATAATACCCGTGCGGTCTGAGACATAACGAAGGAGCTGTTTCGCTGTCGATGGAAAGCTGTAGCAATTTGAGTCCCGGGCCATTGATACCCAAGCATGGTTGGTACTTACTACATATTTACTGGTACGATCCTGTATCCAAGTATGCTCAATGCGACGTTGAGAAGGAGGAAAGCAAAAAGAGTCCAAGACTGTATTTGAGGAGGTACTGTTCCCCAGCCGACTTTCTGCGCGCATCGATCTCCCATGAAAGCTGGGACAGTTATGCGATTAAGTACCCAATTGTAAGAGTTCCATAATCTTCCGCCTGGTCTTGAAGAATAGCTGCGAATCATTTGCGAATTGGCGATGTGGCGGATGGCATGGTTCAAGACGCCGATGGCTACTACGACTATCCAGAAGGTGATCATAGCGCGCCTACTAAGATTTAGCACTCCGACTGACATACCCGAGGGCTTCCCTACCCGTAGACATCATGGTAAGTGTACGTATACGCCACAGAGTCCTGCATCACAATCAGTCTTGTCCGAATTCACTCTCGAGTTACCTACCAAAGTATCCCACCAGATCCCAAACCAGTGCTCAGAAGGCACGACGACCTCTCTAAACAAAACCCCCTCATCCGTCTCATTCTGCTCAAATCTTCTCACCCCCTCGACATCCTCGGCTGTATAATTCGAAATGACGTCAAACGGCGGTAAAACAATGTGCGCCTTCTCCCGACATGTCTCATTGTACGACCCCAGCCCTACCTCTACCGCTCCAGGCGTGCAATACACATCAATACATAGATACAGCGATAGTATCGCTTTGGGACTGTAGCAAGTCTTGGTAAAACCCGTTTGGTTCCGGAGCACGTCGTCGAAATGCACGGGCTTTAGGCACGCGAAACACGCGTCGTAGCATACGCGCTCAGGAGATCTGTCCTCGGCTGCAAGGGACAGCGTCCACAGTGAGAGGTTGATGAGCAGCGCGCCCAAAGAAGCTGCGAATTTCATGGCGCCACCGTTGGGGCTGATCAAAAGTGAAGAAAAGCAGGGGTTTAAGTTGAGCACTTTATCAGATCTAAAACTTTGATCAGATAAGAGCAAAACATCACGTGTAATGGTGGGGCTTGAAACGTTCCCATGATCCGATTTTACCCATTGTGCTACACATATTGGGAATAGCTTCGTTTACTCTAGGCTCTCTAGGGGAGGAAAGAAAACTCAAGATATTGATCCTAAATGACAAAAAGACTTAGGTAACCTAGCATAAACTTAGCCTAAACTTAGGACAACTTTTACTGAATTTATTTCACACCCTATCTCAAGGTCTAATGTTTTCTTCCCCCCCTGAGGGCTCTATTCTTTATCCACGGGTTCCAGCAGCCTTATTGCAATCTCAACAATGCACTATATGAGCAAGCTTCATTCGCTCATTCCTGGGATACCAGAGTGTTGCCTTCTAGGTCAATAAATTCTAGGGTATTTAGACGTTTTATAAAATTTATGTCGGCATACATACTTTACGTCAAAGGTGCAAGGAAAACAGCTCACAGTTAAAATATTATGCGACTTATGTTTGTTGAGGCTTTGCGCATATTGCCTTCCCAAGGCTGAAGTTAATTTGTATTTTTCAGTGTGTTGGCTTTATATGTCTCGTTGAGATATTATAAGCTTTAACTATCAGTCAACAGAGCTCACCCAGTAGCTTTATAAGTGAGGCTAGTTGCAGCATCTCCCTCATCCTCTTTTTCACCTTATATTTTATCCCTCGCTAAACATCACGAAAATGCCCGAGATAAGATGTTTCAGGCTACAGCATCATCACTCGCTGCCATGGGCTCTGCGACAGCTATATCGTTTTCGACCAATGACTGACATGTCCCCTGTCGCTCATTTTGACAACAACGAATCAAGCACTTGTCTACTGGCTTCGTCCGGACAAGAGCATGGAGAGACAACGACATCCCTTGGAGCTCTGGCGTCTCAACGTTCCCCAGCGCAGACCTCAGTACTGCTACACCTTCCACGAGAATTACTAGTTCAAATCATGATCCATTTGCCGTACAGTTCTCTTTACATGGTCCACCAAACCTGTGGCATCTTTCGTCATCTGCTAGGCGGCTTTGAATTCAAATACTTTCGACTAGAAATGCTGCGAAGCAATGAGGAAGCGCACTGTATCACGAAGGCTGGATTTGACGAGCTATATATTGTCAAAAGGCTGCTCCGCCGCAGATCCCTGTGCGATCCTTGCGGCAAGCTCTTCGACTCTGGCGAGCTTGAAGAAAAGCTTAAGGCTCTCTGGAAACCAGTTCTATGCACTGGATGCAAGAAACACCATCCAGGACTTTTATTTCCTCAAGGTCAGCGAACAGAAAATCGCTGCGTCGGGCTACTTGGTCACTTTGCAGTTTGCAAACATCTCAAAATCTCGGCAAAGTCAAAGTTGATGCCCTTTGCAAAGATGGTGAAGCGAGAAGATGAGTCAATCACATGCGGACATCCTGATCATATTTCAGTCTACGATATAAACGGCAATTCAACAAGCCGCTACATTCGTGAACCATTTATGAGATATTCCACTTATATCGCAGGTATGTGTAGCACATACTTCAGATCTTTTCCGATGATAAAGATTCATCGTCAACAAGATCTCGACATGAGCAAATTGAAGTCGCGTTTATTCAAACAACTTCAGGATATGAACGGAGATGGACTGTGTCTACATGCATCCGGTCAACTCGAATCTATCGCATCTTGTATAACCCTAGACAAAAATCGTTGTTCTCCAGGTCTGCACAACGGCCAGTTTCACTATGAATGCCCTGACTGGAGCTACGGTTGTCATCATTGTCATCAGTGTGGCGCACGATACTTCTGGTTTTTCGACGACGATTGTGTTATATTTTACGTTTGGATACCGATGTGTTATAATGGCCCAGACTCCATGAGCTGGCTCTCAAATCTCACTTTCGACGCTGATGAGCACCCTATTCTCAACAAGGGTACCCAAAATGTCTTGTGGTGCTCCGATCCTAGTTGCGGTACAGGCTGCGGAGAACGATGGTTGTTGATGATGGAAATTTTCAAGAGGCACACGGTGAGCTATCTTCTTCACGACTGGGAGCTTTCGTTCCGTTACACGACTTGCATGGATAGGTTGCCTTTGACACTGGAATATCAGATTCTTCAAGATGTAGCATATTGGTCTCAATTGAGCTGAACAAATTGGGGTTAATCCTTATAGGATGCTGAAAATAGTAGATATTGATAAAAGAACCTTTCCTTGCACTCTCAAGTAATCGAGACCTCGTCCGTGCAATCCATTGTCCCATTGGTCGCTGACTCCAACTTTAAATATCCAAACTAAACTATCACAGACGATGTTGTCCCATCGGATAACAAGTCCACTCTTTAGCTATCCCTCGGCAGACTTTGGACTGTTCGTGATTTGAGGTGACTTTTAGGATCAAGTATTTTGGCATTTATATGAATGCAGTTCTCCGATGCAGTTTAAGGAATAAATACAATCTCAGTTTACAAGAAAGGCATACGCTCTAAGTCTATATACATATAATCATCCAAATGTCGGTTTAACCAGAGTACTCGGAGTAAAAGCAGCTAGTAGCGTGCTCAATCTCAGAAACGCGTGCGTTAAATCCGAGACACTCCTTATCGCTGTATCCAGGACGAGAGTTACCGGTAGCCACCCAAACGGCCCAAGAACCATCAGGGCCGTTGGGGCATGCAGTGAAGCCGCTAGCATCGGCAAAGTTAAGGTTACCAGACTTGTCGATCTTCCAGCCCTTGGTCTCGAACGCCTCGGGAAGCGGGTTCTTGGTAACGGTAGAATATTGAAGAACACCTTGGCCTACACGATATTAGCAACAATTTAATTGATGAGCGTGAGTTTATGACTTACCCATTCCGGAGCGATCGGTATAAGCGCGCTGCTGCTTTTTGCCAGTGTTGTAGAGGTACAGTTCACCCTCGCTCAGGCGGAAGACAGCTGATCCGTCAGACTTGCCAGAGCAGGTAGCGTTCTGCTTATCCGCTGGAAGACCAAGCAAGAAGCCGTTCTCAGAAGCGCTGAAGTGCGTGAAGTGGATAGGGCTGCCGGAGCGCAGGGCGACGAGGCCGAAGGTCTTGGGGGCGGGAGAGTTGCCGGACTTGGCGGGGGCGGTCTTTGTGCTTGCGCATTCCTCAGTAGGAGCGGCGGCGGCGAGGCCGAGGAGAGAGGCGGCGAAGAGAGTCTTGAACTGCATTTTGATTGATGTTTTGTGTTGTGATGTTTTGTGTTGTGATGTTTTGCGTTGTTGTTTAACTTGAATGTGTTGGTGTGATAATGTAGGTAAAAGTGATCGGGGTGAGGACTTATATAAATGTGAATACGAGGTCCCAAGGGATCTTCAGTTGATCTTTTGACGAATGAGGAGTGCAACGGCAGTTATTGACATCATTTCATTGAATGGGGATATCCCCTGTCGTAAACTTGGCCCTTTAATGTCACCTACCGTTACATCCAATTACAAACTGTCCTCGGGTCTTTCGGGCTGTTTCACATAGAAATTCTTCCGCCAGAGAAGTTAGGCTTCAATTCTACTTGACAAAAAGCTTTAGTTAAACCTAGTGACCCTTAGGCTGATTATTTTTGGCACCTCTTTTTGCGGTCTGAGGCTAGCTGGAAAAAAAACATCGCCACTTCACTGCCTCCCCGATACGAGATCGAGAACACATGATGGGTTTCCATCTCGTAAAGAGCGGCATATGTGCCGAGGATCGCCAGTAACGTACCAGCAGAATATCCCTGCATCAGGTTGGAATAGCAGAACAAACCAGATGCTGCTGTGGGCTATTAATACCCACTGACGTAGGCCGAGATCTATGCGAGATCCACTAGCTACGGCTAACGGAACGGAAGCGAAGCGGATGAAGGATCATTTGCCTACCAACCGTCATGGCATTGCTCGTCAAGCTGGGTAAGTCAGCTGGAATGTTTGTGTAGTTTCTATGGCTGTTCTAGAATGCATTTCGCGGACGGTAACAGCGTCGCATGAATTCATTTCATCGCTAAACTCTAATGCAAATGAGGCGCTGATCTAATTCTCGACCACGTCACACAGCGCCAGCCGATCCACAGTTTAAAAATAGAAACAGTCTTGCATTCATTCTATCTACCCTTCGTTCCACCAAAGCCCAGCCTTCGTATTTCCTCACCTCAACAAACACCGACAATCTATCCTGACCGCTGATTCTCGACCAATTCCCCAATAGTCTTTTCGAAATCCTCTGGCTCCCTTCCCAGAACCTCTCTCATCGTGTTCGTCACTCCAGCTGTTTCTCCAGCGCGGATGGCGTCCCATGCTGTAGCCCACGTCCTCGCCTTCTCCTCGATGCCAAAGTATTGTTTTATCTGAGGGAGGTTGATATACTCGTCCACGCTTATTTCTTGGATTTTGAAATCAGTTCCTGCGGCGCGCGATAGGACTTCGACGGTCTCTGCTAATGTCCAGGATTTGGGACCGGTTAAAGTGACGATTTGGTTGGTGTATTTAAATGATAACGGTGATTTCGCGTATGAGGCGATGAGACGTGCGGTCGCTTCTCCGAGTTCATCTCTCTTGACCCAGCTGACACCAGGTCCACTCCCATCATGTGGAATGAGAACTTTGGCCGGTGGGTTCTTAAGGTCAAGGAATGAAGTGTAGATGGGGAATGACTCGCTGTAAAGACCCTCGCGAATGCTCGTCCACGTAAATCCCTCCTTAGCACTCTCGATCTTTCGCAGATGCGTCTCACTGTCGAGATGAGCGCCCATGACTTCAGCCTTGGTACTACTCTCACCAATCGACGCAAACCCAAGCGACGAGTAGAAAATATGCTTTACTCCAGCTTTAACCGCCGCATCAAGTGCTTTAGTATGCACCTTAGTTCTATACTCGTGAACGTGGCTAGGATACGAGATCAAGAAGAGGACATCGACCCCTGCAAAAACAGCCTCGAGCTCTTCGGCGCTAGACTCGTAAGAAGCTTGACGAACAGTAGTTCCATTTTCCACGTATTTCTTGGGAACCTTTTCGGGATATCGGTTGATGAGCGTGACTTTGTCGTTTGGGACTTGGGAGAGAAGGTGGGTGTACGCGCTGGTGCCAAGGGCTCCAGAAGCGGGGAAGATTCCGATTTGCGTCATGTTATGCCTCGTATTTTTTTCTTTCTTGTGACGATATATCGAGTTGATGGTGTTGGAATAATTACAATGCTGCTTTGAAGTGAGGAGTTATAAGTCGTGTTTTATTTAGATGTTATCGAAATCCGTGGAGGTGAATCTGACTAATCGACGTGCTCAATATGACGTGATGCCATCCACTCCGAGAACTCCATGGAGTTTCTCACTAAATACTACCCTACAACCGAAACAGTTCTAGGCTTCTTATCGGTCCTCTTAAGCTTGATGTAATTATACCATATCTCCAACTTGAAGTCCGCAAACTTTGTAACAAATTCCTCAACCGTGATGTTGATGAATTCTTCAAGAAATGCTTCGCCTCCATCCCAATCTTGCCCTCGTGACTTCTTCAGCACGTCAACCCAGAACCACCCTGAAGCTGAGACCACGTTACTAATTGCAACTCGAGCATATTCTTTTAGAGCTTCGTCTTTCTTGCTTTCGTCGACCTTGATCTTGTCCTGGTAAACCTGCCAGGCTGGCTGCACGATCAGCTTCGGTTCCATTGACTTCACCTCCCATAGCGGTGCGACATCCTCATCTTTCAAAGCGGCCTCAACTTCTTTGGGAGTACGCTCATGACTTGGGAAAAGAGCCATCTGCATCAGCTCAGGCAATGACAGCGTCCCCTCGCCGACCATTCTCATCAATCCAGCTTGAAGGACTTGCGATCCCGGCTTCGAAGGCGTACTCTCTCCCTCAGGCGCTTGCCCTCCAATAGCCGCAATTAAATACCCACCGCTCCGAGTCTCCTTTGCCCTAAGCTTCAGTAGCTTTATCAGGTCTGTATGCCCTGCTGCGGCGAGTGCTTTGTGACGAGCAACTGTGAATTCAGCTGGCGATGCTGTTGCGTCGAGACTAACAGAAGGAATGTTCTCTAGGTAATTGAATGATGACCAGGAGAAGCCAATGTCAACTTGTGCTGTTGGGACGACCTGCTGATAGAATCCCAGGGGAACAAGACTTGGCACGATCTGGATCTTGCTGTCTTGGTTGGTAAAGTTGTCTGAGACAGTCTTTGCCAAGGTTCCAAAGTCGTTGAACGGGGTATCTTCGAAGATGAGAGAAGCGATAGCGCCATCCGGCAACGTGGAGATGGCCTTCTTTACAGGTTCGATGCTTGAGAGTGTCAGCAGGGAAATGTAAAGTTAGGGCTTCAGGCATACGAGTTGGCGCCCTGAGCGGTCCCATAGTCAACGACTACCAGATTGTCTCCTACCAGAAGTCAGCATTGTCTTGGCCAATATGAAAAGACGGTCAGCATATTGCTTACTGTCTGAAAAGCCGGGGATCAAGTCAAGGCCAGCTTTCATAGCTGCATTCTGAATCTCGGAGCGTTCATTGTAGTGCTTATCGCGCATAGCAATGCGAACAGGGTTCTGATTTGAAGCCATACTTAATCACAATATCGATTGATGTCACTCAATTCAAACCTTCCAGAATGAAAGACGGGGCATTATCTCTCTTTATACTTATTCCAACACCTCTGGACCCGGGCATGGCTGATGCGAAAGGTCACACAATAAGCACTACGCATGCAACCCCGCTGCTTACCCTCCTTGTCACACGAACCACCCAATGTCATTTCGCAATATCTCACACAGAAAGGGGCCAGATTTTGAATCCTTCGGAAGGGTCGGCACTCATTGGCTACGTCGCCATTCGGGGAGCACTCGAGTCTAATTTTCGCTTGTGAGAAGTGAAATGCAGGTTGCGTGGCCCAATGGCAAGGCGTCCGAGAGTGGATCGGAAGATTCTGGGTTCGATTCCCGGCGTAGCCGTGATAACAGACGTTGAGAAAGATGCATTATACAGGATTTGGTCACATCATGCTCTTATTCTATTTTTGGGAATAGTACGGTCTTATTTACATAAGGAAGGAATCGCTGAGCTTGATACACCTGCAAGGCAATGCTAAAGTGTCACATTATAACCTTATAATCTTTGAGTCCTATAGAATTAAATCTTACTCTGTGGCTCTCAGGCTGAAGAGACTTCTTATCATGATAGACGGACCCTGACTCTCCTTCACAATATCCCATTCCCTAATGTATACTACCAATTAAATCTCACCATCGTAAAAGACTCCTGGAAAGGATGGTCAGTAAGCAGAGCATATAGCAACAAGTCAACCCGCTGTAACCTCGATCTCGACAAGACTTACGATTTAATAAGCAGTAACATTCTTAGCCGTAGCATTATGCTTCCCAGAAATGGCGGAATACTTGGCGTCGCAGCATTCCTCAGCAGTGATAATCTTGTCCGTCGAGACTAATTCCTTATAGTCAGGGGCATAGTGGCATCTCCCTCCGGATTCATAATATTCGCCTTGAGTCTTCCTGCAGCATTCTCGGGTCCTTGGGATGTTGCGCACTCCTCTTCTGTAGCATGTGAAAGCGTCTCCTGGAGGGGAGGGAGGGCATGCTTCTCCTGAAGAGAGGAGACCCGCGAACACCAAGATGGCAAGCGGGGAGAGCTTCATCGTTGGTCAAGAAAAGAGGGCTGGGCTTGGGGGTGAGGTATGTGGATAGAAGGGCGATGCTCTGGGTGATGAACTCTGAGTGACAATTGTGTGGATAGCTGGCCTACTGCCTGAACTGGGTTTATGGGAATGTTGCGTTGAGTTGACAGACGTAACAGCTTATGCTTGCACTACGCGCTGTCCTGAATAGAGTCAAGGCAAAGGGCCTCTTTATACATAAGATCTGAGTAACGCATTCGAACTTGATGACCAGTGAAGTCGCGCAATCAGACCACTAGGGCTTCACGATGAGTCATTATCCAAGATTTATGGCGCCCTGTATTTGTACTGACTGTGATGAGGTTGAAAAAGGCTTCAGCCTCCATACTCTTTGCCTTTACTGTTGCTGAGAATCTTGCCTTTGGCTGAAAAGCTAGATATCCTGGTGACTGAGTTGGAGATTCGGTGATACTCAGCAATAAGTTTTCAGCGAATTGAAGCTTCGTTGAACGAGCCACAATTCGTTTGAACACAAAGCATTGGTAGTGGCAGTCTAGAGTTCAGCCACATGGCCACTAATCGATCAAGGATATGGTTCGAGAATATAAGCCTATCTGTTAGCCTTATGGACATGAGTGGGGGGAGAGGGACGGAGATACATCATGAATACACGCAATACGTCTAAATGCACTTAGGCCATTCCTGTATAGCCGATCCTTTTTCTGGATTTATTGTGGTACCGTGGGAACCAAAGTTGACATGGCCCTAAAGAGACAGGTCTCACGGTCGGTGATTGAGTTTGGTGTCGCGTTATCCTGCGATCATAAGGTTTCCAAGGCTGAGCAGTTGAGGGGTTGAGTGCAATACAACGCGTTATATACCACGCCAAAGAGTGCCATGCGCAGAGGGGTAGATAGTTCATTTGATGAAATTCGCCTAAAATACTTCACGAATCCAGAATTCCCCCATATTCATTATTCCTAAGGAACGTTTGCTTTGCGTTGAGGATCTTGAAGCCTTGCCATCTCCAACAAAAGTAGGTAAACATACAGACCCATGTCGCCTTCACGCAACGCTCTGGTATGCCATTGTCGCCCTTTCTCTGCGATCTGCTTCGCGACCTCTTTTCCAGATGCAGTTGAGGTGAGATAAAAGACTAGCTCCGAGAGCTCTTCCATACTTTGACTAACAGGTACATAGTGCAGCCAAGGTATTAGTCGATCGTCGTGCCATTCTTGAAATAATGTCTGCTTTATTGGCACCGACATGGAATCGAGTAGCTTGTAATAACGGCCGCGGATACCGTTGCCGTCGATATCAAACGCAAGCGTTGACTTGAGGGCTTCATCTTTACCTACCCAGGATTTGGTGTCGAAATAGGCATCTTGGTCCCTGCAGGCTTTTCTCTGGCATTGGAAGATGCGGGTGAAGGTGACATCAAACAGTCTTCCATTCAGAAAGGAAGATTTGACTTTCTGCACGACACCACCCTTCGTTCGTATGTAGTTGTAAAATTTGTTCGTTCTCAAATTCTGCGTGAGCTCAACAAATCATTGTCGATGGAAGAGCTGCCAGTGGGTATCAAGCGCAAAACCCCCAGTAGTCGAGCCAGCCCAGTAGAGGCTGTCTCTTTTTCGGTCCCATTCAACATCTTTTGACTCGTCGTAAATGAACTCTTGCTCGGTATATGCTGGGCTCGGAATGAGAATGTCACTCATCGTGGAAAGTTTGCCGGTTGAGAAGATAGGAACAAGGCCATAGATTGGGCGAAATGAGACGGGGCTCATCATGAAACCATGTGAGGCGCTGTACTCTGGGTGTTGACAGAGATCTTGGGCCGAAGAGATGTTGGTCACGAATGGTAGGCCAAAGGTATTGATGCTGTCTTGGTCTTCTACTTCTCTTTCTTGAAGGCCACAGTTCTTGGCCAGCAAGTCCCATACAGGTTTTCGGCTGCGATCCCCCACAGTTATCCTTCGATCGTGGGGGGAGATGCTTCGGGGGAAGGCTGTGAAATGACACGAGGTTCATCGATATGATTGAAAAGAAACGTCACATCAGGTAGCTTCGTGAAGTTGGCCAAAATGTTGTTGAACATACGCGAGAAATGCCTGTCAAAGGTACGATAGGAGTGACTACATTGTGTTGTCGACGATGTCCCCGAGAATGTGCAAAGCCACAAATCGCTTCCAGGAAGGTTTTTCGCTCGATTCATGGCATCGAGAACCTGGCTGCCGCTCAGCCTCCAGAGCGGCGATATTGTATGATACAAGGAGTCGAAATCATCGATCAATGGTGAGCCATTGGAACGCGCAGCGTCGTACCATTCCTTAAAACCTGGCGGCCGCTCCATGCCGTATTTATGCTGATAGTTATGCGACGCGGCTTCGAAGGTTGTGGATTGCCTCGTAGATAGGTTCTCGAACTCTTTCTGTGCTTTATTGTACAGGGCCATGACTGGATGTGGCGTGTCCGCGGTGAAGGTAGCAGCGTCGGTTCGCGCGTGATAAATCGCCATAATACTGGCTACATAGGGTATAATCGGCAGCATGATGCAAGAATACAAGAATCGCATTGGGCGTTTGTGTCTGGGGACGAAACCGGCAATCTGGCCGAGGCACAGCAGGGCAGATACAGGATTCAACAATGCATGACTCTCAAATGTGAATTCGAACGGATTGCGCGTTGCTAGAAGACCAAATGTGGTCATCATAGTCGGAAGAGTCCATGACGTGTGACGAGTCTTGACTTGGAAGTTAGAAGCGCATATATGAATGGAGGGGAAATGGTTACGTACAGCTCTGGCAGCACATCGCCAGGAAAGTGCCTTGACCAGTCCCAGAAACAAAGCGTACAGGGAACTAGATCGTGGAAGACCAAAGACGTATACTCTGGCAAGACTACCAACTAAAAGGACTCCTGCCACTCTTGGTGCAAGAGAGTATACATGTTCTCCGAAGGGATTCAGGTGAGGTAAGAAGTGACCGCCCCTTTGTCTTGATTCAAACGAAACATAGGCGATGAAAGAGGCGCCAGTCGCAACGCCAGAAGGCACAAGTCCAGAGTAATTCCAGTCGATCAGAACGAAGGTCAAAAGAGCTGCAGCGAGTGATGCTGTCCAGAGCTTACTGGATAAGGGGGCTAACTTTGAAGTGTCCGCGGAATCGCGCCCCTGAGCGTTTCGATCGAGGCCTCCATCTGTCCAAAGCAGCAAGGGGGTCAAAATAGGCTACGAATTTCTGTTACCATCAGCTTCCTTCAGAGCCTGACATTGAACATACCAAGAGCTTGGAACTGTCCGCCTCAGCTCGACATCCGGATGCGATGGAAAGACAACCGGCAACAACCCACAGCGATAATGGTGAGGGGAGAGTATGCCGAGTCTCACGCCTTGTGGGTAGATCTGCACGGGCTTGTTCTACAAAGGTATTGGCTCCAAATATCATCGGTAAGCATGCCCAACAGATAATCTCCGACAAAAGCTCGTCCTCTCGGCGGGAGAGGTAGCTTGTTGCTACTGCGAGAAGCAAAGCCAACGCAATGTCATTGTGAAGGTCTCGTGGGCTGATCATCGTTGACAAGGGATTCGAGAGGAAACCTAGCAAGTTGTCTCCGTACATACGCAGATGAGCCAAATGGCATCACGGATTTGTATCAAAGAGTTTGCAAAATGGCTCAGAGAACCAGCGTTGGCTGTAGAACAGGTTGAGCAGTAAAGAGAAGTCATGATGGACGTGCATTCCGCTCAAGGCAACTAAATGCCGTGAGCATCCAATTACGGTGGTCAGAAGCTCGCGTCGCGGACGCTGTTGGTTCTGTCAAATGTCTGAAACTTGTAGTCCTCAAAAGTACCGAGTTGTGTTGGTTGAGTGCTTCACTCGCTTCTTGTTAGCCTCCACTCCTCTGCAGTGATAGCAAGTTAGCAGCGCCAAAGGGGTCTCTGATGTGGGCTAAACTGTGTTGGCTGTACCCTGCAATTAAGACATGGTCTGATCAAAGCTTGAATACCTTCCTCTAAGGTACGGGCCGGCCGTATTGGGAAATCCAATCAGATCCGCCTGTTGTGCAGGGGCTTTCGCTTGGGCTATCAGCCCGCGCTGGTCCGACTGGAGCATGGCTTCAAGGTCCCAGTCAAGCTTCTTTTTGCCTCTCATTTTAATCATATTTTTCTATTGCCGAAATAACCGGACTGGAATGTGCATCGTGGCACGGACACTTGGCTTCCACTGATCCAAATCTACAGGGTTTTGAAGGCCTCGGTTGCGAAGCCTGACCTTTAGGCTAAAGCTTAACCCTGAAGCCAGGCTTCAGCCCAGCGGTTGCTCCTTGAGAACTACAGAACGTTGCAACGTCGAGAGACCATCTTTTTGTATGAAAAACCGTTTCTTTTTGCGACCGGTTTTGAAAGAACAAGGTGCGGTATCACTGAATAGGGATGAACTATGGGGTGTATTGCATGTTAGACGTCGTTAAATAGCTTATAGACTTTTCGAATAACATAAAACATAACAAGACATAAATCCGGGTTCATCGGTTCACTAGTCCCGACGACCCATGGGCCCTTGTAGCAGTAAATCTGCGCACTTATAACGACAACCAACAGACAATAAGTCACTGAACCAACAATGTTGTGTCGGTCTGTTGATACCATCAAAGCCAACTGGCCGTATTCAGGCCAGTGGACAACACTATGACCAAGTCGGTAAACAAGAAGCGGTGCAGACAAGAGTATGAAGCCCCCTTTGAACCTCTATCTCAGCACTCTCGAGATCAACAATCATCTTCTGGCCTCAGAATCCTTTCATCAGATCTTTTACTCTCCTCTACTTCTCCTCGGCCAACATGCAACTCTCCAAGTTTGTTATTCTCAACATCACCGCCTTGCTCTTCTCCACTGGAGAAGCATGCAAGTGCTATGGAACTAAGGGCAACCTCAACAACGGCGCAACTCACAAGTGTTGTAACATTACCATGGTGTATACTCTGGTAATGACTGCAAAGCTAGTTCTATCTCTGAGCATCTCAGTGGATTTGACAGGTGCTGCAAGGGTCAAGGCTCGGACTGTGACGTTCCCGGTCGTGCCGCTGCCCTGGGTCAGGAAATGAGAGCTGTTAAGCATGTCGAGATCAAGACTGCCCTTGCCAAGTAAGCGACCAGCGATAAGTCAAGGTTGGTTAATCCTTTCGTACCTCGCAAGCTTCGTGTGATATTAACTTGCACAAGATAGCAGCCAAGATATGGGCTAGAACAGAGAACATGGAGTGGCAAAGAGATGAGTCAGTATTGGCCGAGTTGCCTTGATACCAGGCACTACCTTTACCTTCCAGCCGGAACTTAGCGCCTATTAAACGCCTCTATCTCAATCATATAGTAGATACATTTTGAACTTTAGTAAAGGAAGCCTTTGTTAGACATGGTATTCATTCGTTGAATATACTGTTACTGCTTAGGAAGCATTTCGTTATGACTGATCAGTGTTAAGTAGTCTCTCGTCTCATACAGAGGAGTTAATTCTTGAAACCTCAACAAATCTCCCATATCGCTGTGAGAAAGAGAATTTCAGGAACACGTACTGGCAATCATCTCTACTCACAGCCTCTCACTATCATCTGGAAGTCACTTTCCACGGTTTTAGGTGTATTCCGATCACTGTACTAAGAATTCCATCCACTTGGCGTATCTTGACATCATTTGGATCCAGTATAATGCAGATATTTCAGGCTTCCCGAGTTGCATTCCAGAGCATAGCAGTCCTTCTAAGGTCAGCCAAAACACCCGCTGCTCCTTGAACTCCCAAGTTAAATCCCGGGGCCTTATCTCCCATCCATCCTGACAGATGCCACCCGATGGGTAGCCATGCGAGAGGACGGATCCAATCATAGTACCACTGCACTGCCTTCTCAGCTTCTTCTCGCGTGATCTCGCCCTTTTCGAGGTGGTTCTTGGTAAAGAATATCTGAGCCTCACGCATAAGACGAGCAAAGTCGCAGATGATGCCCAAGAACCAGGCCCTATGAGCGACCCTGTACATGTTTGCAACCCGCCCACCTGCGCCATTGAAGAGCCATCCCAGACCACATTTCATCAAGACACCTTTTTCCGTGAGGAAAGCGATATTCTCGAGGAGCTGGAACGTCGCATAGAGGGAACATTGGACAAAAGATATGATGTAGAGTACGGGGTCCATGCTCTTGCCATCTCTAATCAACTTCCTGATTCGTACGTAAATAGGGAGCAGGCCAAATAGTCTCAAGGTCAACCTGGCATTTGCAACAACAGAGCCCAATCTCGCAAAGGGAGATGATTCTGCTGCAGCGGCTCCAGGGAGAGCAGTAAAAGCAGTCTCGGGCCTGACGAATGATAAGGCTTTGGACTTGAGATTGTAGGCTTTGGAGTCGAAGTAGGCCAAGAGATAGAGGCCATAGTTGAAGGTTGTAAGAACAGAGCCAAGGTCTTTAGTGGGTTTCATAAGTCTGAGATTTGAATTAGATGGTCGTCAGGTTTATTCATTGAGCATTGACTTACTCGTTCAGCCTAAAGAACAGACGATCTGGCGCACTCAGCGCAATCTTTGACTGGACAGGCATTGGGATATCTTTGAGAGTTTGTATAATTGGGCTTTCAGTGGGAGTGATCTGTTGCTCGTATTCCGGGATACTCGGCTCTTGAATGTGGGAATACTCAAGTTCATCAATTGTTTCTTGGAAGGACATGACGATGTGACAGAACTTTGTACTTATGACTTTCATAGTCCTAACGTTCTGGGTACCATATATAGTATGATTTAACTAGCGTGAGTCGAGCTTCTGGGCATATTTGGACGTACTGAAGAAGTCAGTTCCACGTTTACAGTCTCGCGGCTGGGGAGGCTTTGCCGGAGTAGGCGAAAGCTAGAGGAGAATACAGACATAAAGACACGAATTAGAACAAAAACAGAAGTCCATCACGTGCCTCAGAGGTTCCTTGACTTCCGGAAGAGGAAGTTTGTAGTCCTGTGATGTTAGCTTTGCGAAGATGAAGGTTTCGCTGCATTCTCACTTCTCGTCACGCTCAACAACGACGAATGTGACAAGATATCTAGGCAACTCTATCATCCGTATCACTTTTGATAAAGGTACTCAAAGCTTTAAGATGAAGCTCTCAAGCTTGGGAGATGGTATGCAGCCTATTTCAATTGGGTTCACGGACCCTAAGCTAACGAATTTCAGCCAGCCTCGAGCTCCAAGCTCTTCGCCTAGCAGCTGGAATGATGCTCACACCACCTCACGGGAATGACGCCGAGAGACTTTTACTGTAAGGTATCCCCAGGGAGCAAGAAAACGAGTACCTTGACATGGAGTACCAAGATAAACTTAGCAAAAGTATCCTAAGCTTTTAAAAGGATTTCAAAACTTACGCTAATTTACCTGGGTCTTTTTGCCATTTAAGATCGAGGCCCTGGGTTTTTCTTCCCCTACTAGGGTATCTCTGATGTATATGATAGACTTCAGTCTTGCAGTAAAATCCTTGCTCTTGGCAGAACTTAGAAAGATAAGACAGAGTCAATTAGACGTTGGGTGACATTCCTGCCGACCAGGAGCTGAAAATGCATACCAATACCATCAGCCGCAGTATAAATTGCCGTTTTCAGTCTTTCCTATTACGCCATTCTAGTTCAACTAGCTTTCATGGGCTTGGGGCTTGGCCGTTTGTCAAGCTCTCGCAGGACGTTTGGCACATGGCAGCTTTGGTGCTCCCTGCTGATCGCCCTCAGAGAGCTCCTGCAAAGATACTAAGCTGTGAACTATTGAATTATACAAAGCTCCGACCAAGATCAACACACATCTCCATCTCCTTTTTCTCCCAGACTTTTCCAAACTTATCAATATTTTCTAGAACCAGCATACTCAACTCACTTCAGTCCAATTCGGACAATCCATCATCATGCCCACTTCCATCCCCTACGACTCAAGCCTCACCCTCATGAGCGTTGTAAACCAAGACGCCCTCAAGAGCGTCGAGGCAATTGCAGCTCTCCAAGCCCCCGTTGACGCTGCCCAAGACGCTCTCAACTCTCTCATCTCCTCAAAGCGCAGTCTCACCATGACAAAGACGGAGCTCAAGAACCTCGGTGTCGGGACCGATGCTCTCGATGAAGAGCTCAAGAAGCTCAATGCCGCAGTCGAGGCTTCGGCTGGTGCCTACGCCGCTACCAAAATGGCAGCTGAACCTCAGATCACCGCTATAAGAAAGGACATCCACTCTGTCCACAAGCAGATCGAGAGTCCTGTTGATTATCTGCGCAGTGAGATCAGAACCATTGCGCTGGCGAATGACACGATGAACATGGATGTCCAGTATTTTTCGTTTGATTCGAATTCGCAAAACTCAGCGACTTATAGTGCGCAGATCGCGTCGTATGTGTCTGGGGCTGTCAGTAGTGTCTTCGGGGCAAAACAGTCGATGAGGATTGGAAATGCGGCTTCCAGACAAGTCAGTCGTCAGGTTAGCTCACACAGCATCGAGGGCACACTGGTTCTGTCTGTGAGTTGCACGCACAAGAATGCTTCGATCGTGGCTCCTTTCGTGCTACACGTCGATAAGGCTATCAAGGTCTGGAACCATCTCTTCCCTGGGAGCAAGCTTGATCCCACCAGTGGATCAAGCATGATGAAGTGCGCGATGAACGAGAGCCAGGAAGACAAGGAAAAGTTCTCGATTATTTCCGGTGTCACCTATGGATCTAGCTTCGTTGGCATGGTCCATGTGCTCAACACCACGTCCTCGTCTGCTTCAGAATCTATGGAGGCCGCTGCCTCACAGATGCAGTCGACCATGAACGTGGGTGCCTGGTTCGCCAAGGCGGAGGGTAAAGTTGGCGTGGACTCCAACTTTGCCAGCAACGTCAAGAATCTCCTCAGCCAGCAGAACATCCAGTCTCACGTCACGGTCCTGTCAATGGGTGTTATCCCCTCAATGGTAGCCCACGAAGTCGCAACTGCTGTCAGCAAGTTCAACGACTTTGACCCCAAGTCCAACATGGCGGCTGTTGCTGCTATGCAGAATGCAGTCTCGTCAGATCAATCCTCCGTCCAGTCCATGGCCGAAGCTTCAAGAACAACTGGCCAAGCATCTGAGATGCAAGGCAAGAAGATTGAGTCTTCATTAAGTGCTCTGGCGACGATTGATGGGGAAAAGAATAAGATTCTTGATGTAAACTCTATGATGACAGCCCTGGAGGATTACTTGGGCAAGGCTACGCAGGGAACGTCTGGTATTCCCATCAACTACTATCTCAAGGACATTGATCAGAAGATGCTGGCACAAATGTGGGCTGCCAAGTATTACCCGGGAGAGTTCATGGCTATCAAGTATGATGATACTGAGGGCGGAGGACCTGCTGAGGAGGACCCCAAGGCAAAGCTCTAGGCTGTTAGATAAGATTTGCTTGCTGGCTTTTTGTCAATTTCATCTAAACTTGAAAAGGTACTATAAATTACGTTAAGTTTAGTAAATACTCCCCTAAACTTAGGCTATATTTACCTGAATACTTCTGCTTAGTGTCAAGGTCCTGAGGTTTCTTTCCTCCTCTGGTCAAGCCAAGTCAACTCGTTTGAGTTCCACAGACGCCGTGCAAGGTGAGGCTTATCCCCAAAAGAACGTTGGAATGTATAACGCCATGCAGAAGTTTGGATACAAGAACGGCAAAACGGCAACCATGGCTTGAATCACTTCAGCTGAGTGCCGAATCCGGACACAGCAAGCCACATTTCATCAGATGCAACTATCACGAAGGATATAAAGAAGATTCAGAAAACACCATCAGCCAGTATGTTTCTCCTCAAAACTCAATTTTAAGTAGCTGCCATTTCGCATAGTAGGCCAGTCATCTGTATGCGGAACTCTAAAAGGTCAAAGGATAGTATCACAGTATCACATATGTCGTATCCTCAACATTCCTTCTAAACTTCTTTGGGCTTCACATGCGTAGCCAGATACTGGCCTCTGTAGTGTCGGGTATGTTGATGCGCAAAGAAACCCGAGTTCCGCATCGTTCGCATGCCCTCTTGAGCAACTTGCCCGTAAGCGGTCTGTCTACATATCTTGGACCCCATGCCAACCTTACACAATTTGATGTCTCTTTTTAGCTTCCTAATCTACTTCTGGGCTGTAAATAGGGCTTAGACACGGCTTTGGGGGTCGGGGAAATGACTTCAGACAAACTTGAAAGAGGGTCTCGCATCTCTGTTAAACTTCCGGCATCATGCAATGCTCATTTCAAAAGGGTCACATCACATTCCTAATGACTAGTCTCTTTGTGCCGCAATAACCGAGTTTTGTAGCTTTCAGTGTCTGAATGACCGCAAACATCCATATGTTATTGTATACGAGGCAAGTATTGACGCTAATGACCATTGCGACTTGGGTAACAAGAGTCAGTCCTATGCCAATGCCACTTACCATGCTTCAAATCGGGTTGGGGGAGCAAGGAATGCATTGCTCTAGTAGTAAAAGCACTAACAGCTGGACACATAGCATTTCATTCATAAAGTGCAATATATGCTTTTCAGCAACCAAGATTGATTTTCATAATCATTTATATTGAAAAATACTTGTTGTATTCTTAACCAGAATCCCACCATTACCAACATGGAGAGTAACAAAGCACCTTCATTCAGCCATAGAACCCACGATTATGTGGTCAATGAATATGAAACCAAAGACTTCGTTGCGGGGAGAACTCGTTCAAGTGAGGGACTATGGCGCAAAGTTCACACGAAGGGCTTCGACGCTATCATTTGGGAATTTAACCCTAGAACAATACAGAGGCCATACCCTTTCTACGCACCTTGTCCCACGGGTCCAGGTGCGAAACGGCTGCCGGCCTACATCAGGATCGAGGCCAAAAGCAAAGAGCATCAAAGTCTATTCCAAGACGATCTTAAGAAAGACTTCTTTGTTTCGCTCTTTGCCCTCATTGTCCTGGGGTCTCAGCAAGATATCAACTGGTCACGAGAGACTAAGGAAATGTAAGTTCCAGTCCCATCTTGAAGCCCTTCTTTCGGGTAACTCTGACTGCATTGTCTTATCCAGGGAGTCCGAGTCTGAACTATCAGCGTGGCAAAATTTGGAAGAAGAGTTCTTGAAACGCACAAACGATTGGAAACCTAACTTTATGGAGGGGTTTCCAAAAATCCCTGTAAGAACTGAGACCGGCGATATTGATACACTCCAACTGTCGAAAGAATGGCAGGGCTGGCATGACGTCCTTCCACAGATGGGCATTCTTGACACTACTTCAAAGCACGGAGGAAAACCCGTGCGACATCTGAATATTTCTCTCAGATCGCCAATCCTTATCAAGCCATTGAAAGGCCGTCATGAGGCCATGATATCAAAAAGGTTCTCTATGACTCCGGACAAGTTTTTCCAAGTTCTCATCGACGCTATCCACAATACTTCGGATCCAGACTCCCCGGGTCCCATTCATTATCCATGGAAGCTTCAGATCCACCCAGAACAAAAACAGGAGGGCTACATCATGGTAGGTTCATAGTCTGCACGTCATAAACCTTTCTCTCAAGCAGCTAACTAATACCACCATCATTTGCAGACTTCCCACGATCCTTTCAACCTTTATGAGACTTATATCCACCAGACGGACTGGAATACATACATGGAATCACTGGAGAAAACAGGATCCCCAATTCGGCCTATTCCACGTGTCAATCAGAAACTATACGATCTCTGCAACGGCATTATGCTTAAAGTTGGGGGCGCTGACATCGCCCTCCAGGCATCCATGAAGAAAGAGAGCGGGAAGAGTCACGATTCAGAGGATGAAGACTTGAAGAGTCTCAAGGAAAAGTACCCAAAGAAAGTGCCTCGACCCTTCAACAACCTCAAGGCGAAAGCACGCGCCCTGGCTGAGAAGAAACGGGAGAAGAGGAAGAAGAGCGTTAAGGCTTTGAGCAAGGTATATGAAGTTGGGTGTGGGACAGCGATTCTGTGGAATGATCTCGATGTTGACAAGATCCAACGGGCTGCTGGGAAACGGCCTGATGAGGCGGGCCAGAAGGAGATCATGGGAGGTGTCTCAGCGACAGAGGTGAGCTGCCACTGATATTCATCAGCCCCCTACATGCTTACATTCGTTGAGATTGGTAGCGCCATGGGCTGGGACAGCAAACGGCTGAAATCTCGTGTTTTTCCTGCGGAGGTGAGTACTGCACCTCAGGCACTTGGGGATGTGTAACATTGACGTTTTCCTGCAGTGGCTTCATCTTTCGGCTTTTTCCTGGGGAGGTATCAGCAGTGATGACGATCCAGAAGGGTTCTCCACAAGCCAGAACTTCGAAAACTTGGTCTTTGGAACATCCGAGACCAACTCTCTCATGACGAGGTAAGCGAAGTTGACTCCTTTTGGTATCTGGCTACTGACAGAGGGTTACAGATACGAAACGGCCTGGCAGAGATTCTTCCTCGCTGAGTCTGAACTCGCTGGTTCTGGTGCAAAAATCACTGGTACACTGGATATATGCTGCAACGATTATAACAGCCCCATACTCTGGGATGTATCCCCGGGCTCCGGGCAATTCAGAACTGGAGTCCTGAGATTCACAAAGGAAGACCTGGAAGCCATGAAGAAAAACGGGTTCAACTCGAACAAATACCTCTCTATAAAGGAAAAGAAACTAACAGACAGCTATATCAAGGAGCAGATGCTCGTGCTTGCCCACGACTTCCCCTTCATTGTGTATTCGATCCAGTACGATCTACAGGCTGACTTTCACTCGCGAATCTTTGCCCTGGACAATATGGAGTGTTCTGTGCCGTTTTTCCCTTTCCGTAGACCTTTCTATCATCGCTCTGAGGCGCTTTTGGATGATCTGGTTTTCAAGGAGTTGTATGGAAAGGCAAAGGCAGAGTCGGAGGTCTTGAGGTCTAATCTGTGAGTTAGCTGAGGGTCACCACTGGAAATCTGGTATCTCGGGGATGAGATTTTAGGCACTGAGTAATTGAATGGTTATGTAACAATATGTCCAGATCCACTGAGCAGAGTTTACTATCTTTCTGTCTGATCAAATTGCGAGCGTTGAGTGGGAGAAACATCATGATACCGAACTCCGGTGTCGGACCGAGATGCTTGTGCGCCCTTTTCAATGTCATGACATTAGCTCGCAGCCATCTTGTCAAGATAGCATAGTAGATAGCTATATACCGGCCGACGATCCGACCGAGATCCGATAGTAGAAAATAATATAAAATACGCAGTAATTTCCTTGAACAAAGAAGGTCCCGATATCGCCGAATCATTGAGAAAAACCTTCAACATGGCATCCAACAACTTCATCCTCACAGCCGAAGCTCACTCCGAAGCCCTACCAAACTTCCATTTCTCAACTCAGGCCGTTCACGCAGATGACTTTGTCAGTCCTCACCGGGCCATCGCCCCGGCTATGCACTCCGCTGTTAACTACCGCTATGCTCGTAACCCTGATGATCTCGTTGAAATGGAAAACGACGATGTACTCATCCTCCTCGTCTTTACTCAAAAATAACTAACATTCATAGCCAAATGCCCCATTCGACTCACACGTCTACTCTCGCTACACAGCCCCCAACTACAACAGACTAGAAATCGTTCTCAAGACGCTGTTCAAGAACCCCGTTGTATCATACTCCTGCGGCGTCGCAGCTTTTCATTCCATGCTGGTCGCCATCAATCCTAAGAAAGTCTTTATCTCCGATGGTTATCACGGTGTTCACGCTGTCATTGAGCTCATGACAAAGCTCAACGGCCTGAAGAAGCTTTCGCTCGATGATCTAGATCAAGCGGGGCCCGGGGATATGATCCATATCGAAACACCACTGAACCCAACAGGCGAAGCGAGAAATCTCGCCTTCTTTAGTAAGAAGGCCAAAGAGGCTGGGGCGTTGCTTACGGTTGATGCTACGCTTGCACCGCCGCCTTTGCAGGATCCGATTCAGTTCGGAGCGGATTTGGTTATGCACAGTGGGACGAAGTATATCGGAGGACACTCTGATATGCTCTGCGGTATTGTCATCGTTTCTCCGCAGCAAGTCAAGTCAGGCTTGGAGCAGACATTGAGAGATGAGCGAATGGTGTTAGGAAATGTCATGGGAAGTCTGGAGGGTTGGCTGGGCATTCGATCACTACGAACTCTTCACCTACGCGTGATGCGTCAGTCCCAAACCGCCGAAGCACTCGTATCATGGCTCAACGCCGGTCTTTCAGACTCATCATCCGTCATCGGCCGTATAGTCCACAAGATCTCACATTCGTCCATCCAACAAGATGTCGAGTGGCTGAAGGGACAAATGCCAGGTGGTCACAGCCCAGTGTTTAGTCTATGGCTGAAGAACCCAAAGCATGCGAAGCGTTTACCGAGCAAGCTGTTCATTTTTCAACATGCGACTAGCTTGGGTGGTGTTGAGAGTTTGTGTGAGTGGCGTGCTATGTCGAGCCGTGGTGAGGATCAGAGAATGTTGAGAATTAGTACTGGAGTGGAGGACTTGGAGGATCTGAAGGGAGATTTGATTCAGGCTTTTGAGGCTTTGTTGGCAGAGTTTCCATGAACCATAAAACTTGTTGTTGCTAATGAAAAGATATGATGAAGAGTTATGAAGCCATGATTCTATATGCAGTCTTCGTCTTCCCTATGTCAGTTGCGAAGATACGAGATATAGTCTATCAATTCCAGAGCACCGAATGTGCCTTCTTCGCTGGGCAAAAAAGAGAACAGCATGCTTGATATCAGTGCACCAGATACAGTACTTAGCTAAAGGCGTTCTAAACTTATACTAAACTTGCCCAAGTCTATTCATGGCTTAAGATCGAGGCCTGAGCTTTTTTTGCTGAGCGTTTTTGCTTCACGTCTCTTTCTTCCATTAGGTCCCGAACTATCAGCATCCTCATGTTCCTAATCATTCGGATACAAGCCAGCAGTTGCAGATGGTTTATGCTCGCCTTCATGAGGGCAGCAGTAACTACCCATGGGGCATCAGCTAGCCGCGAAGTCCAGATTTGTGAACCGATCTTTATACGCCTTTTCTCAACGTAAGCCCAACTCAATGAATCTACTTTAGGTCTTCTTTCGAGTTCCCGCATAGGTCTCTGTGGCATGACTTTATCATTGCCGGCCGGCCCTGAAGCAAACATCTAACCCCAAAAGACTCTCCAAGCCTATGATCTTCCATCAGCAGCAAGCACAGATCAACTGATCAAGACCGATTAAAACCCGTCGCATCTCGCGTTCACTAGACTTTCGTTCCTTGTAGGTATCTTGATCAAATCTTGCCCCCGAAGCATCCGTTTGGCTGGATCTATCCGGGTCATCCGAACACACCACGACATAGTTCCCACACACCCAGCTGAGTTTATTTGAACTTCAAGATAGTATACTTCACACTGTATATACTGTTGAACATGATTTCTTGTTCGGTCATCCAATGAATCTTTGCTAATGGGGGTGTTGCTACTGCGGTTTGGCTGCCTCGAGTGACGAGCAGTTGAGGAGTAGCATCTGTGCTGCCGCGATATAATAATTTTGACGTCGGAAGGCTTATGCAAGTTTCTATCGATGGCGTTTGTTGGGCTGGTTGAGTGTTGTTGGAGGAACAAGCCAACACTCTTGGCTGCTGTAGTGGTTCTTGCGATGTCGGGACCCGGAACCTAGATGCAACTCGAGACAGCTGAATGAGAGTTGAGGATTGAGAAATGTCACAATGATAATAATAATGATAAGAAAATAAAAACTTTAGAAATGCAAAGTAATGGACATTCACAAAGCCAAAGATGATTGATATAGTTGAATCGATATTCAGTCTGTTTCTGATATCTACACATTATGCTCATTCATGTACGTTCTCCTCCCTGGTCATCATCATGACCCCCCAACTTTCAGGTATAATTAAAAAAAAGAGATAGCCTCCTCATCAATAGCAGCAATTGTTAACAAGATTCATAATCTTTAGACGTTGTCGTCATGCTCAGTCTTGGGGACATGCTTGACCTCACCAGCACCCATGGTCTGGGCAAAGGTGGTGTGAGGACGCCACTTAGCAGAGGTTCGGGGAGTGGTCTCTTCCATCATCTTATCAACCTGCTCGAGAGACAGACCCTTGGTCTCGGGGACGAGGAAGTAGGTGTAGATGAAGGCGCAGGTGCAGAGACCGCCCCAGATGAAGAAGACGGAGGACCTGAGGTTGCCACGGTTTTTGCCGACCATGTAGGGGGTGATGACGGCGATGATGGTGTTCCAGAGCCAGTTGGAGGCGGTGGACAGGCCGACACCGCGAGATCGGATGGGGATGGGGAAGATCTCGCCGATGACGATCCAGGCACCAGGGCCCCAGGTGGAGGCGAACCAGAAGATGAAGATGGCGATGAAGGCGATCTGAGCGTTGACGGCGCTGATGTTGTTGGCGATCATGCGGTCGGGCTCGTCAGCGGTGGGGGAGGAGTGAGTGTGGTTGAAGCCGACGGTGACACCAATGATGGCGACGAGGAACTGGCAGATAAGCATACCGAAGGCACCGATGAGGAGGATGCTTCGGCGACCAAATCGCTCAACAGTCCAGAAGGAGAGGGGAGTAGAGCAGACGTTGACGAGAGTGAAGACGAGAGAGATGAGGAAGACGTTGTCGATAGCACCAGTGGACTGGAGGAAGGGGGTAGAGTAGTAGAAGATGAAGTTGACACCGGTCCTGGTTATCGTTAGTGAATGATGTTCATTCTGGTGTTGATGAGGCAAACTTACCATTGCTGCATCATCTGCATAGAAGTACCGAGGATAGTTCGGCGGAGGTTAGACTTGCCATCCCAGAGGCTGCCCTTGAAGCAGTTGGCCCAGCTGCCAATAAAGGATGTCGAAGGGATGATCTGGCGCTCGTACTCCTCGTTGGCGACGATCTCGGCGATCTCAGACTGGACGTACTTAGAGTCCTTAGGCTGGCCTCGGACCTTGGAAAGGGCGTCGATGGCGTCTTCAATGCGGCCACGCTTGACGAAGTATCGAGGAGAGTCGGGGAGGAAGAAGAGACCACCGGCGAGGATGACGGCCCAGGGGAACTGGAGACCGATGGGGATCTGGTAGGACTTCATGCTGTCGAAGTTCTCGGTTCCGTAGACGACACAGGCAGCGAGGAGGAGACCGATGGTGATGCAGAATTGGTAACCGGCGACGAGAGCACCACGAACCTTCTTGGGGCACTGGCGAAGCTGTTAGCATGGTGCTGTGAAGGCAGTGTGAGGAGGAGCTAGACTTACAATCTCAGACATGTACAGAATGACAATGGCAGACTCGAAACCGACACCGATACCGGCAATGAGACGACCGACAACGATGCAAGCAAGAGCATCACCATGACCAGTAATCATCTGAATAACAACACCAATAGCGTAGATAAAGCAACCAGTAATGACAGTCCACTTGCGACCCATGCGGTCAGCAAGGTCACCAGCGATGAGGGCACCAAAGAAGGTACCGCAGGAGAGGATAGAGGTGATGAGAGACGTGTGGCTCTCGCTGAGGCTGTCGGCACCAGCGCCCTCGACCTGGTGGATGAAGAACTTGGAGCCGTTGACACCGTTGATGTATCCGGAATCGTAGCCAAAGAAGATACCACCGAAGGACGCGAAAGCGCACATCATGTAGGCCTTCCAGGTGACGGGGGCCTCGATCTGCTCGACATTGTCGGCAGTCTGGAGGGCGACGGAGCCGCGACGCTCCTCGTTGTGATCTTCAACGCCCATTTTGAAGGTTGCTCTGTTTTGTGAACCAGGCAGAAGAAGATTGAATGAAGGGGAGGGGAGAAGGGGGGAGGGTATTTATCTGTGTGAAGTCAATCACAGGAGGAGAGAGGATGTGAAACAGGGACTCTGTTGTTGAAGTGTTGAGCTGTGATGAGGAGAGAGTCTGTACGAGGGAGG